TTAATTCCCGTGTACCCTAGTTTTTCAAATTTTTAAGCTTACCATACTCAGTCGCTCATCTCTGATGGACGTCCAGGTCTGTTAAAACTTATCTAGGTTTTCATGTGGCTTTTATAAACATACGACCGCTTAATTTGTTGTACAATGCAGCTACTCTACAAGCCATATATGCTATTTGAAAGTTCTGTCGTGCGTGAATACATATGGTGTTGTTTATATTCACTAGTATTTTTAGATGACAGAATTTCCTCAAGCTTTCATACAGAGCAAACAAATACCTTGAGATTCATACCAAACCAATTAGGATTACTGGACGGATAATTGCTAAGAAGTTTGGCCGTATCATCGATCAAACCGTTATATGCACTATGGTCGGTGCATATGGGAGGGAGTACCGAGTGTTTCACTATCCTTCGCTACGTATGTTAATCAGTAACTCGGTCTGCTTCCTCATTAAAAACATGTGCAGATCCTGTTCACTGAGAGAGGATGATTGCCTGAATTAATTTAATTATTGATTAAGGCTTTACACTATCGTATGATTAGCGACTGTCAAGTGTACTACAGACTTAATTATAATTTCTTATTATACGAACTGCACTCTTTTGTTGAGCAAGACAATAATCTGAGATTATTCCTAAGCTAATGAATTATATGAAGCGTTTCTCACATGTTGAGAACTCTACAGCAATACATTGAGGAATATAAACGTTTCTTCGACTCCGAAAACAAATGGTTATTCAGTATTGCTTGATCTTGCCACTGGCTTTAAATTTTACTACCGATGTCACTTTGAAAGCCTTAGAAGTTTATGGACTTCTGGAGTTTGATATCATATTGCTGTATGATGGAAAGCAAATTATCTCAACTACACTTAACTACTCAGTAACCATCATCCAACACGTTTAATTTACACGAAGTGCAGAAGCATTAAAACGCTGCCACTGGCCTGAACTCACAAGATGTTTGCAAGCAACTGTGTTGTGACCTATACATGAAATCAGTCCAGAAAGCCTTTGGAGTCATTGTGGTGTCCGTCTGAACACCGAAGGTCGGATATGCAACGCATAGATAGCACTAAAACAGAATTGCTACGCTACTTCTCTGAACTGACTTTGGGGATATCGTACCTGGTATTTCTATCTACAAGTGGATGATCTGATATTGTAACACTACACATAATGCCAAGGTTCAGTAACGTGTGTTTGGGTACGAGAATTATGAGCAGGAGCGCATTTACGCGGCTACTATTTCATTTCATTTCCCGACGCTGAGATTAGTTGGAAAAGTTAGTGAAATAAATCATTCGACTTCACACTATTATGCATACCACTAATAGTTTGATGATGAAAATGTCACAACTGAATTCTTGGTTTACTAAATAATAAACGATTCAAGGATGTTACCTGTGTTAACTCACTAGCTATTGGTTAATTCGGAGAATTTCATAATACTTATATTGTGAGACTAAATATCTCGTTTTTGAAAGATCCACGTCAAAAAGAAAGACGATATCCTCAGAAACAATATAATTTATGGTAAAATACAAACTACACCTAAATATCTTCCGAAAGGCATTGGCAGACTAAGTAAAGTTAATGACTAACCTCACCGTTCACAAGAATAATCAAAGTTCCCATCGGGAAAAAGGTGCTTCGATTTACAATTCCTTTGAGGGATGAACATGCTTATCTTCGTATGGTAGGTCCAAGACTCCGTTATAGTGCATTCGGACAGGAGGGGCTATATTCGAGGTCTCTGGTAATTTTGCGCCAAAATAGTTTTTCTCAAAAAAGAATTCATCTCGAGGCACTCTATCGTATATCGCGATGTAAAGATCAGGATTCTTTGCCACACAAACAACACTGTAACCAAGTATGAGGACAACGCCAAACGAAACTACTGATCCAAGAAATGTAACCGGATAATTCTTAATAAGCCAATTAACCGCTCCTCCTTGATGTGCTGTAGAACTCAGTCGGTGGGGAGAAACAGAAAGTCCACGCCTGCAACATGCAATCAGCGATAACCTGGATAGACTCATAATCAAACTTCGTTTGTTTCAGTGAGAACAAGTGCAATGAGTAGTTATTTGCTTTAGAAAAACAGTAAATACTTGTAACCAATTGCTACGCCGTCAATTCCTGTCTACCGCTAATATTGGTTACCGAAGGTCAAACTCAAGATGGCGAACCACACTACCGCTTTAAAGGGTCAATGATTGTCAAGAAATATGTGGATTGATAAATGAATAGATGAAAAATGTCTGGAATATCGTGTCCGCTGTTAAGGTAACTTTAGAAGTACTATTGGTGCCTAAAGTTATTTCATTAGTGTGTGCTATATATGTTACATGAATGTGATTTCAAATGGTTGTGGACCGTGTAGCGGTAAATAAATCTCCAAAATCAATAGCTCTGTAAGTCTTCGACATTGGATGCTGACCATATTAGTTTTATTAAACTCACCTAGCTGGAAGTGCTCAGTCATGCATTCGCACCAGTTCACGAATGGAAACGCCGTGCTCAACATCCTCTGCAAGTGCCAGCCAGATTAGATAAGTTATTCCTCGATATATTGATAGCCTATCAAATATATCTTCGGACATCCTCACTTCTGTCTTTTGATTTCACTTGACGGGTGCGATTCATAATGGAAGGTGGTACTGGTTAAAGCGTTGTCAAAATCCGAATACCTGGATAGAAGAAGCTTTCGCTTAACGGGCTTCTATGTCTATTAGTAGTGAATCATTGATACCTGCAGGCGAGAACCTTGATGCATTAATGACAATAGAGAAAAAAGAAATTGGTCAATCATAATAAGATATTATCCTTTGTCCTTAAGAATAGGTCACGTTTACTCTTAAGGGACTCCTAAGGAAGTAGGTATGTTGTGTAACGTAGAAGCTTGCGGGGAAATGTTAAGAAGCGTATAGACCAGGAAGGAGAACCAGTTATTGGGACTCAAGCTCAGTGGAACAGATGAAAACACTGCAGACGGCTCTTATGAAGACCAAAGCGACTAAACTTACTGTAGATCGAAGCGCCATATACAGACCTTTTTATAGATGCTGTCCCATTAACAGTTAAAAGAATTCGCTGGGATACCGAAAAATCAAGTTCCATGAAACACCAGAATCAGGCAACATACCCACCAAAGCACCTGGGTCAGATAAAGAGGTGGTCACGAAGGTGCTGTGAATTTTCTTTGGAAGGATTTGTGAGGAAGAACGAGTATCAAGAGACTGCAAAGAATGATACCACATCAAGATATCAACGAATGATCTTATCATGTGTAAAAAGTGCGAAGAAATTACATTTTTATCAGTATTAGGCAAGGGTTTCAACAAAGTTGTTGAACTTGAATAGAAGATTCAGCAGGCGATCATATTTCAGGCCGACAACCCAGATTTTGTGAGGGTATCCACTAAACCGTGACTCTTCGTATTGTTACTGAATAATTAGTTGAGTGAGACCTGTTGGTATACATCAACTTCCTTGATTTTAAGAAGGGATTCGATGGCGTAGACAGGAGGACCTTGTGAAAACATCCTGAACACTACGAAGTACCTGTGGAGACCATTATCATCATACGGAATTCTCAAGACGGACTATAATGCGAAGCCATGCCTGGAGAGCGACTCACAGGCACATCGCATGTGAAGAACTGGGGTGGTTATGTAAACTGCCGAATGCTATTCATATCATGAACCGAAATAATCACGATTGCCAATTGTCGAGTATGGGCTACCAAATTAAGTTAGAGAAAACATGGTACACAATTCTTCTTAACTAACTAGTTCTAAATATTTGGTGCATATTGCTTCACGCATTTGAACTCTTAAAATAACACTGTAGCAAAATAGACACTAAAAACCGTATATCATCAACGTAGGTGGTCTGTGTCGATGATTGAGGGCCTGTTTGAGCCGTACGAGAATGGTGAGACCCCATAGAATACATCAACGTCACACCATGAGGTTAGCACGTAGCATGGGCCATCCCTACGTTGTACTGCTGCCTCATGAGGTTCAACTGAGTAATGCTCGGTGGTCGTCCTTAACCTTGATGTGGGTCCATACTCGGCGACTCAACTGCTGCGTGCTTGGCTAAGGCCATGACATATCACTGACCTTACACAACTGTCAGGAATTGTATGAAAGTAAAAAAACACTAAATCACTATTAACTCGTCACAAAACGTCCTTCAAGTACATATACTTGGAGTTGGATGGAGGAAACTGAATAATTGATCCTTACTCATTTCACATGCACCACAATCAAAGTAAATAATCTACGCGAACAATGTCCGAAATTCGGAAGAATATTTCAACAAAAACCAGTAACAACGTCTCTCATAATCACTATTGATAATACTTCAAACTAAGACATAAAAGAAATGAAAACTACGACTCAACCCCAGATAAAAGGATGATTTCACGAAACTCTCATGGTTCACACTACGCATTGTTTTTCTCTGTAGGATTCTTAACGCTTTTGAACATCTCCTTAAACACCTACATAAGTTTAGCTTCAATACAAACCTAAGGGGTAACACCTAGAAACTAGAGAAACAGTACAGCAGAACGGACTGTAGACGCAACTTCTACTCCTTAAGGGTTGCCAAATGCTGGAATTCACTGCCGGCTGAGCTAGTCCAAGCGACTTTCCAGGAGTTCTTTAGGAAGAAACGTGGCCTAGTCTTAAAGACAAAGGACAATATTTTATTATGAATAACCAATTTCTTTCTTCTCTATTATCGTTAACATACCTAGGTCCTTGGCTGGAGGTATCGATGATCTACTACTACTAGACATGGAAGCCTGTTAAACGAAAGTTTCTTCGATTCCATCCACAACTTTTTGAACCATTTTAGCAGAATGTAGTAGCCTCATTTGTGTGAATGTTTAAAAAACATTCGGATCAAATAAGGGGTGGAATCTACTTAGGCTGACACGGAATTCATTCCTATGACGTGAAACTGAGTTTATTGAAGTCTTCGTGTACTGGTAGTTGGTTTTGTATCACGTTTGATGGTGGCTTATTTAAAGTAGACGTTACTTGTTAGTGAGATGTTTGTTCTTGTTTCTTTGAAGGATACCGTTGTAATTAAGCCTAGTTACATCGGTTCAGATATGAAAGAAATAATGGAGCAGGAGCTTAATTCTCGTTTCTGCAGCAAAGTAAGCAATACATATTTTGTTTATTTTGTAGAAATAAGTATCAAGTAGATGTTCTTCAATAATTTTGTTGCTTTGTTTCTGAGCTCATTTCTCTTCGTTATGTTGTCCTGTCTAGAATCCTTTATTTCGCACCAATGCCTACACCACAGTCGCCTGGTTTTCGTGCTCCCTTTGTCCATTCATTTAACACATCTGAATAACCTCTATTGGTTTGTTAGTTGAAATTTAATCAATCACAACACAGCAACCACCCATTGACTTGCATACTCATCTGTCGATCACTTTTCCGTTGCCTACATATGCTAGTTTAAACGACAGAGTGCGTAGTATCAGTGCTTTTTAACATGGTATCAATGTGGTTTTTATGAGTTAAACAGGTTAGTTGCTACAAGGCACATTATGATTATGTTACAACGATTCTCACATCACACGGCACTTAAATGAACGTTCCATCATAGTGGGTTTATGTTCTTTAAATACCACCGAAAATTGTAAGTTTTCCGAATTGAGATATATGTAAACACGCAAGTTAATAGTTTCATTCAAATAAGGCCTGTTTAGTTTCTATCATTCATGCTTCGAGATTGACAGTCTAGTTAGTGTCATTTGTTTAAATATTCGGCATATGTAAAACTGCTTTATATTTGTTATTTTAATTGTTTCTTTCCGGTCGTTTCTCATTTTATAGCTAATCTTCCTCAAAGTTAATTTTCAAATATTTCTACTTGCAGGTTATTTACAAAGTTGGTCTGTGCATTTCTTTATGGGACATTTTGAAAGTTGAAGAAAGCTTTATATCAGATGTCGATGGTGCCTATTATACTACAGGTAGTAAAATTTCCTTTTCTATCAGCGCTGGCTAATTAGTGAGCTTTCGAATTGTTTGCTTTCGTCCATTTATTGATGAAATTCTTATTGGAATTGTAAAATCTCTCTCCAAAGCTGGCTTACGTGTGTCACTGAATTTTTTTGATGATGTATTTATACCTGCAGAAAACTACGCTCACCTTCAAGATAGTAAATTCTATCAATTTGTTATTCACTCTTCTTTTTAGCGACTATGAGCAAAATGCATGGATATGGGAGTATGCGTACGAAGGTGAAGCAGCTGAATTGCGCATTGACAAACATGATACGATTCGGTGAGTATTCATGTTTGTTACAGTTTATTATTTTGTCGAAGTAATTATGGTTCACTGATTATGTGGATGTTAGTTTATTAAGATGTAAATGCAAAAATAACCTGTAAAGGCCATCAATTTCAGATCAAATCACCTGATTTTTAGGTATATCACAAACTTATTGGACTTTTGCTTCATAATCTTCGATCTTAGTAGAGTATATCTATTTCTGAGAATTTCACGAGGAAACCACGAAGAATATTTCATTTTTATAAAATACTTGAAATTTAAAGGTTACTTTCACCACACGTTAATGTCATTTATGAAAAGATTTCAGACCATGGAGTGAACGTCCTTTCGGTTGTACTTCTTTGTTCTCTTCTGTATGGAGATATGGCTGTATATTCGGAAAATTAGGTCTTATACGTAACATATTCGAAATTTGATCCACTTTGGTTGAGGGATCTATACAATATCATTAGCCCCTATGTGATGGGATTTGAAGTCGAGAATATAAACATGCAGTTGTTTGCCAGGATGTTATACTAATAACAAATATGAATTACTCAACAGTTCTCGTCTGATTGCAGCTTTCAGCTAAGCCTGATGGTTACACTTGAATTTTGTCAATACTCAGCTTAGTTAACCCGACTGTAGCTGTTACCTTGACGTGGTGGTCTGACTTACCCATCGTGATGACCCAACCGAGCTACATTGGCTGGAACATGTGTTCCTGTAGGTTCTACCATGCCAAGCAGGTCGATTGGAGAACGGTAAGACTAAGAGTAGTAACTCAAGGTCTGAGAGCGAAGTCGTACTGCTGATTGTGGAGGGGCGTGACAGCAGTAATGCGTTTCCCTCGGGCAACCAGCATCTGTAGCGATGCTTCCTTCTCACAAGAAAGGAAGGGGTTAGAAAAGGTCAACCCTAAAAATGTCACAATTCACCTTATCTCACGGATTTCCGTCTCCGACGATAAGGCCTTTTGAAGAACAGAGCTAACACGTTAAAAACTTCCCACAAGCATTTGTTCCTTTAGCTCTGAGGACACGCTCCCAGGTCGTTAAGACCAACATTAATCTAACTTCCCTTTCAGGTTCCTCAAGAAATACCCTCCCACAGTGTGGGTAGCCGGGAAGTGACATCAGCCCTCATACCCGTAACGGCACACAAAAGCAGGTTGGTCACAATCAAACCCTTCCTACACCTCTTACTAAGTCTCTTATCTCCACGACTAACCCTTCTCACGTTCCTTTATAACCTTTCACCGCTAATGCAAACGATTCGAGTACGCGGAACGTTATTCCCGGTCTCCTGAAACCACGCTCTAAACCACATGTAGGAGCTTTGAACGTCCGAACAGTGTGCCAAATAAGACAACAGGCTTCCTTAGCTAGGACTGTAGAATCTCACGCCATCAATGTATGCTGCGTCTCCGAAACGTGTATACAGAATCCGAGTAGCGTCATTCATTTGACCCCATCATATAATAAAGAACCATCTCGATTCATACTTCGTGTATCTGGAAGCCCTGACGCTGCTTCCCATGGCCTCGCTGGTATAGGTATATTATTGAGTCCTAGGGCAGAACTATCTCTCTTAGACTGGATCCCAGTAGAAAGTCGCTTGTGCGCTGCCCGACTAAACGGAGCATTAAGAACTCGAAAAGATAGGAACACTCGTCGTCGCCTATTTGTCGTCTGCCTACTCTCCCACTGACTTCAGCTCAGATGAGGTAAGAGATGAGTTTTACAGAAAGCCTTTTTACCTCCTCCAAAAAGTTAGGCGCTCCGATGTAGTAATATTGGCTGGTGGCCTTAATGCTCAAGTAGGTAAACTAAGCGAAAAGGAAAGACACCTGGGTGGATCTTATGGTGTCGTGGCTCAAAGAACAGATAATGGCGACTGTCTGTTGCAACTATGCTCAGATAACCGCCTGTCTCTAGTAAATACTACAAGCATAAGAAAAACATCTTTTAACATGGCGACCCCGAATTCATCCCAACGTTGGACCCAAATAAATCACATCGCTATCAGCCACCGATGGAGGGGCTCGATAGAAGACTGTCGCTCATTCTGGAGCACATGCCTAGATTCAGATCATGCTCTAGTGCGAGCGCGTATTTGCTTGCGTCTTACTGGACGTAGGAAAGACGCTGCAAGGAAACCTCTTAGGGCCTACTTAATGATAGCCAAGCTAAGAGTATATTTCAGGAACAACTAGGAAAACAGTTAGGCAGCCATGTATGTGATGCCCACCCCGATGCAGCATGGAATGATATCCGAAAAGCTGTGGAAACAGCAGTGATATCTGCTAGTAAGGTAAACCAGAAGGTTAGGGAGCAACACTGGATCTCAGCAGCATCTATCGCACTGATAGATGCTCGGAAACTCATTCCACCTGGCTCTGAACATAATGAAGAGCGGAGTCAGCTTAAGCGCAAGCTGACAAGAAGTCTACGCAATGATCGCGAACAGTGGTGGGTAGCGAAAGCAAGAGAGATGGAAAAGGCAGCGGCAATAGGTAATAGCAGACAATTGTTCAGACTCGTTAAGGAAACCGGAATTAGGAACCCGACCGTTAGCGAAACAATCTCAGAGAAAGATGGACATATTATTCATTCTCAATCCAGGAGATTGGATCGATGGGCAGAACACTTTAGGGATCAGTTCAACTGGCCTTCAGCCACACTTCGGTTTCCCACGATCTCCAGTCAACCTGAATGGCAAGTTAATGTAGGTCCTCCGTCCCTTTACGAAGTTGAAAAAGCCATAGGAAATCTGAAACGAGGGAGAGCAGCAGGCCCTGACAGGTTTACTCCTGAGATTTTTAAGGATGGTGGTCCAGTATTAGCAATGAGATTAACTGAGGTCTTAGGTAGAATTTGGGAACTGGACGTAATCCCATCTGACTGGTCTCAATCACTGATTGTGCCAGTCTATAAGAAAGGACAAAAGTCCTCTTGTGACAATCACAGAGGAATCAGTTTGACTAATATAGTGTCTAAAATATTAGCTTCAATAATACTTCGACGCCTAACAAAGCTCGTGAAGAGCAGACTAGAGAAAACCAGGCTGGTTTTCGACCTGGACGTGGTTGTATAGATCAGATATTCACACTACGTCAGGTTCTAGAACACAGACACACATTCAGACGCCCCACAATGGTAGTATTTCTCGACCTTAAGGCGGCATTCGACTCTGTTGATCGTGAGGTTCTATGGCAGTGTTTGTCACTGAAAGGAGTACCAAAGAAGTACATTAACCTTATAAAGGCTCTCTACTCGAACACAACTGGTAGAGTGAGAGCTTATGGCGAACTGTCATCAGAATTGATTACCTCAAGTGGTGTTCGTCAGGGCTGTCCACTCTCCCCATTCTTGTTCAACTTTGTGGTCGACGTACTTTTAGAGATAACACTCTCCTCATCTAAATTTACAGGGGTTGAACTTCTACCGGGAGGTTCACTTGTTGACTTAGAATATGCTGATGACATAGTTTTATTTGGTGAAGACGCTGACAAAATGCAGAGTCTTCTGACCACTCTAAGCAACAATGCAAGCATGTTCGGGATGCGATTCTCTCCCTCGAAATGCAAAATGTTGCTTCAGGATTGGGTTACATCGACACCCGAACTAGTGATAGGGAGTGAAGTAGTTGAGTGTGTCGACCGCTTCACTTATCTTGGAAGTCTCATCAGCCCTTGTGGTTGGTGTGTGACGAAATCTCAGCACGGATACAGAAGGCTCGACTAGCTTTTGCCAACTTGCGTCATTTATGGCGTAGGCGAGATATCCGTCTATCAACCAAAGGACGTGTTTACTGCGCAGCAGTTCGTTCCGTCCTACTTTATGGCAGTGAAACATGGCCGGTAAGAGTAGAGGATATTCGTAGGTTACTAGTATTTGATCATAGGTGTCTTCGAAATATTGCTCGTATATCATGGGACCATCGAGTAAGTAACACAGTTGTTAGGAAACGGGTACTAGGTAAGGATGGCAAATCAATTGATGAAGTAGTGAAACTTCATCAGTTGAGATGGCTGGGACACGTGTTACGTATGCCCAACGACCGACTGCCTCGACGTGCTATGTTCAGTGGTATAGGAGTAGGTTGGAAGAAAGCTAGGGGCGGACAGACCAAAACATGGCACAAGTCCATGAAGTCACTGACAAGTGGACTGAGTCATGTTGGTAGGTGTAGACTACCTGGTTGGGGACCGCGAGATGATAGCAACCGATGGTTAGAGACCCTGAATGACATGGCTCAAAATCGTTTGCAATGGCGCAGGTGCATCCACTCTTTGTGTTCTCCCAAATTATAATCTTCTGAAACTATCATGTTCCTTTTTTTCTCTTTCTGAATTTATCCCAATGGATAATTCTCCTTGAATAACATCTCCAAACCCTAATCTTCTCGATTACTGCTTATACTTTTACTACCTCTACCACTATGGGATTTGAATCGACAGTTGTATCTCTGTGCTAATGTGGTATGGCAACTTGAACTGATGTACGTACGTAAGAAGTTCTACGTTGTTGCTGACTGAATGACTGACAGCTTAGGTATATGACTTGTACACTTGTTGATTGAGGTCCTCACCTACCAGGTGGATCGTTTTCGTTGAGGTAAGCTCAGAAGTAAAATATATAAGCTCCAGGAATAGAGTTGTACTGCTGGTTATGCTGTGTTTTGGCGGCAGTAATCTGTCTTCCACAAATAATCAGAATTTCTTACTGTTGTACCTTTTCACAGACAAAAGAGCTAGTAAAGATCTTCCTTGTCACTCCACGGCTTTCCAGTGTTAGCGATAAGGTTCGGAGATTACGGAATTAGTACAGTGAAAACTATCCAGTTAAATGTCTTGTGTGGATGGCCTCAATCAGTTGCTTTTGTGGCTTTGGCGAATAAAAGTATTTTTACTAATCCCGTTTTATCTCGTTACTTGGGATGAAATATCCTTCTGTATCGTGCCAAACTGAGAGGTGACATATTTGTAGCGTTTCCGAAACCTGAATACAGGAAGTTCAGTCATGAACGTGACTACGCAGCTAATGTTGAGAATTAGCGCAGTTTACCTTTAGGTTGTTTGGAAACTGAACAGTGATTTCTCGCTATCCTGTAAGTGTATGTGTGGCGTTAATTTCTGAAGCAAAACGGGAGCTACCATATCTAATCCCAGATGGACTTCAACCAAAATATATAATAATTCCATTTGAGTCGCTTCTGTTTGGTCTTGATGTCATTGAATCCATTTTACAGGATTCACCCTAATATTTCCGTGGGTATATTTAGAAACACTGTTTCAGTTCATTTTAATTTGGTTAACAAGGTGTGAAAACTGTCTCCACTTTCGATTTCCGTTGTAGATTTCGTGTAGTTGAAGAAGTTTGGTCTGATCCAAACCCAGATAGTGACAAAACTAGCATTTCAACTTCTAATGACCCATTAGAGTGCGGTGATGGTAATCCAGACTCTTTAATTGAACCCAAAGCCCCCTATACAATAATCGTGAGTTTGTTTCTCCGGTATTTCTGCAATTGTCATTTCTGTTATCACGGTTTTTTGTCTGTAAAAGTATTTATTATCGTAGCTACTACCAAGCATCTAAGTTACATGGTTAAAAATGGATAACTTTGCAGTATTTTTCAGCCGTTCTGTCCTATTTTATAATGCACTAGCACGAAGCTATGGTCTTCCTATGTACTAGACGTAGTACTATCAGTTTATGTGTAGAAAATATTAGCCCTTAGACTTATGACCTGATTATAATAGATAACCATATATTTGAGGACTTGAGATGGTGGAGATTTGTAGCTCAGGTGGATGGCTTTGGTGGAGTTTTGTTCTCTGAGCTGAATGGTTTAGTTGTAGAGCTTTCATCATTCTGATCAATATCGTCAGCAAAAACTTCAGGTAGAAGTGAAGTGTTCGAGTATCTCCACGTATGGCTCACAACTTGACCTGAGAGCCTGTTGAAGCAGTTTAGTTAAAAGAAATACAACCAGGAAGGATTCTTTCAGCCAAAGAAGTTCCTCTCATTTATATAAAATAAGTAAAAAGGTTATAGCAGGATCGCTACCAGCTTCTATTCTGAGCCATATCCAATAACGTTTCAGACCACTGTGTTGCACTATCCCTAGAACCCCAGGTGGGGAGTGACGGACAGATATCTGAGGCTTATACAGCTGTCTTTCACATCAGGGTATCGCTTCATACACTGACCACCTTTCTGCTTTTTCCAACCAGTCTCGGCATCGGCAAATAATCCACGATGTGGAATTCTCTGGGATAACGTTCGGAGGATATGCCCAAGCCACTGAAGTCGATGTTTCGAAATGGTGACATTAATTGAATTAACATCATTGTGCTCATACACATTGTTGGACCTCCACATTACTAACATAGTGTTGCCGCTGAATGTCAGAAATTTGTCTAGGTCAACGATGACCAAACACAGAGTTACTTAACATCCTTAACTCGGAGAGACCAGGTTTCACAAGCACAGAGCAGAACTTCTCTCACCGATGCGTTGTAGATCCTACATTTTACAGTCAGGTTAATATCACAACGGCACCAAAGGTGGTTCCGATTTATTTATTTGAACACATCAATATTGATACTAAGAGGCACTGAATACTTATGTACAACACAGGTCATTTAATTTGTGTGTGGGCTGTGGTGCTGCCCGGATATCCAGATCGAAACAGGTGTTTTCCTTAGGGGGCCATGCCCGGGGCCTTCGACTTAAAGGTCTGATCCAAAAGGCAGTGGAGCAACATTAGGAGATGCAGTCCCATGGTAGTCAGTAACCAACAATAGGTTCATATGCCATTTGTTCCTTCAGGATCCTGGAGTGCATGTGCACCATTGGTTTGGAATCATGGTTTTCCAACTCCCCTAGGTGGACTCTCCGTGTCCACCGACCCAGTTAAAGAGCCGGAAATTCACTTTTCGTCCTCTCAATTTTGTGAATAACACCTCTGGTGCGAGAAGGCAGTGAGTAGGACTTCCCCTGGTACTGGCTGTATGCATGTGGCCATGTGAGAGCATTTCGAGAGGTAGAGCTAACTCTTCCCACCCTCGGCCGTACCAGGGCATTTGGGGGATGGTTCCGATTGACATGAGCCGTCCTGGTTCTCACTATACATGGGTTGATCTTATCATTCAAACCACCACTATCACTTACGCAGCTAACCAGTTACACGAATTTATCGAATACTTCTATCTGCTGGCTACCAAGAGTGAGTGAAGGTTCAGGGTCCTACCAGGATTTTAAAAGCACTTTGGACTTAGAAGGTGCAAAGGGAATGCCATACCTATGGATACTAATTGCCAACTGATTAAGTGCGGGTTGCATGGCTTCTGTATCGTTGCACAGTAAGACAATATCACCCGCATACTCAAGGTTGAGAAGTTTTTCTCCAGGTGAAAAGTCCATACCACCACTACCTACATCCATCAGAACTGTTTCCAGATCATCATCGATGGCAAAGTTGAGGAGGAATGGTGAGATTGGACAACCCAGATTGACCCAACTACTCGAACACAACAATAGGGAGAGGTGGTTGTATGCTCTCACTCTGCCTGAGATGTTTGTATATAGTGAACTCAGACACACCTTTCTTCAATACACAATCCCAGTGACCAATCCTGTCCAGCGAATTGAAGGCGGCCCTGATATCAAGAACACTACGATTGTTAGTCTGTAACAAGTATGACGGTGTTCTCACACTTGGTGGGGATAATGGGATCTCCACTAGGACGAAAAGCAGGCTGCTCCTCAGGAGTCAATGCTTCTCGGGTTTTGAACAATCTGAAAAGTATGACGGAGTCCAGTGGTTTGGACTCAATCGGAAGTAGACTTATTACCTGATAGTTGTTGCATAGGTGATGTAAACCCTTTTTAAAGATAGGGACAACTATCGACTCATTCCACAATGTTGGAAATTTCTCTAATTGCTATACAAATAAGTCAGTTCCTTAACCTGGAGGTCGACACCATCTGTACAAAGAACCAGAGGTAAGTAATTTTACTCACTATTTTCATGGCGTCATGCAATTGTAGCCGACTCTCACCTATACTTTTCGGTGGGATGGTAGCTAGCCGTGAGCCTAGCTCGGTTTAATATTTAGTTGCAACAGAAGCTGCAACCAATTTTCTGACATCGATGCGTTTAGGACGATGAATTTGTTGGCCACTGAAAAGTAGGATAGGATTAGCGCAAACAATAGCATGATCGGAGTTCAGATAGGTACTCTAAAAGGAGAGATGGTTCCGTGCACAACCACACCAGCGTTAGCTGATCGCGATGTGATCAATCTGAGCCTACGCTCGAGAATCAGAAGGGAGGACACCAGGTGGCACATCGGTGGTGACTGTGCCTGTAGTTAGTGCTAGCCAGAAACAGGTTGTGATCTGCACACAGTTGCAGTAGACGGTTACTGTTATATGATCTGTGACCAAAAAGTTCCCATCGGTCATTCCAACGATTCTTTTTTGTGCCTAGTAGCCTAACCCGATCTTTTAATTCTCCGGCTATAACTACAGTATTTGTCGAACTCACTTTCTGTAGAAGAACACTTGAGCGGTGGTCGAACTCATCCTTGATTGCCTCTGTTGGAGCCTTTGACCTAGAGGTCTAGTCCATCGGACAGTGGAGCAACTTTAGGAACTTTAATTTGATGGTAGTCAGTGACCAGAAATAGGTTCACATGCCATTTGCCCCGTGAGGATCCTGGAGCTCATGTGAACAATTTGTTCGCAGTCAGGGTTTTCTACCTCCCTTAGATAGACCCTTCATACCCTGGAATTTCGCTTTTCGTCCTTTCAATTTCGTAAACAACACTCCCGCCTCGAGAAGGCAATGCATAGTAATTCATAGTTTAACAGATTTATTTCTGCCTTGGAAAATGAAAATACATCTCCCAGTTAACATATTCTGCCTGCTTCCCGTTACATTATTTTAGTATCTCGTTTATTTAGATTTTTAAGGTTATTATTTCCCTACTTAACCTTTTAAAATGAGACTGGACTGAGATTTTGAGATGTTTGAGAAGATTTGTAGCCCAAGTGTATGGTTTGGGTGGATTGTTGTCCTCTGAGCTGGATGGTTTAGTCATGGGGCTTTCATCGTTCTTCCGAGTGGCTTCATTAGCGCAAACAATGGAAGCTTCACGACCAAACCATCCAGCTCAGAGATCAAAACTCCACCTAAAACTGGACTGAAATCGTTAATCAATTAGTTAGTGAGTAATTTAGTCTAACAAAATACTGCTGGCATTCTCTAAAGACTTTTCACCATCGATACAACTTGATTTCAACTTCAATAGTTTAAAAATAACTATGGATTATTCCATTTGTCAAAGCATAATATAACGACTTTTGACTATATATCAGTGGTCTTTGATTTACATTGTATGGAAAGAAATCGATTCTCTTAAATGGTTTGAAGAAATACACAAATAGAAATGAGATATATTTTGTTGTTCTAGTCATCCTGAAAGTGAAAACGTACTTTTTTCCTCACGATGACTGAGAATTCTTTGGAAGATACTCTTATAATTATTTCGAATTGATAAAAAGTTTGATGAAGCGTTAGGACGGAAGTTAGTCATCAGATGTTTGCTTCTGCAAGTTAGGTTGGGATGGTTATTATTTTTACTGAAGGCCAGTCACTTACTTGTCTCCATGTACTGAGCTAGTGTGTAAGGACATCTCAGGAAGTCCTAAATAAATGTCATAAGTGTTTTCTTAGTCCAACAAATTCCCTCATCTCCAATCTTTGTTTTCTGGTCGTGAAATTCTACTTAGTTTTGTAGTTTTTGGGGTTGTCAGTCATTATGCTTTCCTCTTTAAACATAGTTTTAGCCTTCCTTATTTAACCCCATATTGAGTCAATTTGTTAGGGAGAAACACCCAAGCCTCTGACTTTATTACTTTCACGGTTTGAAGAAGGTCGATTATTTGATTTGTTTGTCTCATTGCTTCTGGTATATCTTTATCGTGAATTATGCCACAAAAACTCTTGTTCTATGTGCGACTTGATACGAACAAATCATAGAAAGCTTTATACTATAATTTCTGCTGTTCTATTTAAGTATCCTGAAAATGGTTATAACTAAAATTTCATTGGAAAGAAACCAACATTGTGGTTTTATAAACTACGTAACATTTTGAGTTGATTTAATATTAAAGTTAAATTAAATTTTGGTTCCTCATAGTGTCCAGAGTATTTTCGTTTGCTTCTTCTGTTCATATATCTTTTTCAGATAGTTAAAATCGTGACATAGCTTTTCCCCGTAATTTTTGTAGATTTTTTCTTATTCCTAGCGTATCCTTGATAATATTAGCTGTTTTCTGTTTTGCTACTTGTTTATATATCAGTAATATATATTTCGTAGATAAGGAACTACTTGGAAGGTGTTGCACGAGGCCAATAATACAATAAAATTTATCAGTTTGTTAAAAAGTATTTCATTCATATGACAATGGTATATGGAAAAAACAGAAATTGCTTGAATATAACATGTATTTGGTGGATTTGTGAATAAGAAAATTCGGTGCTGTAAAGAGCAGCTCAACGGAGCGATCGCCTTTTAACCATTGCGTTATCTAAGCTAAACAACCACGTCTTTTTATCTCGTCTATAATATTTTCAATAATAATAACTCGTTTATCTTTCGTCAGGATAGAATTGTAGGGAAAAATATACAAAAAGATATCCACGCATAAAATTAGAGATTTAAGACAACAGAATTGTCATAAGAACTGAAAAATTAAGCGGAATTATGGAAATGCGTTGCTTAACTTGGTACAACAAATCAGAAAGTTAAATGTTAGAAAAAATTTACGTAAACACGAAATAATACCTCTGATAGTGAATCTCTTCACGTAACTACTCTCTCTCATTTTTAAATTTTAATAAGTGTTTGCAGTTTATTAACTAACCATAAAAACAAAACAAAAAAACACTATGTAATTGGATGTATAAGAGAATATAATTTTATTATTGAGGTGACAAGTTGATAGTTTCATGGTTAAAAAACCACTAAGTGATTCAATTGAAGTGGTTATGATACAGTTCCTTCATTTCAAATTTCAAAAATTATAGTTTTCTCCCAGAAACTTGGATTTTGCATGTATTTAATTGTAAAAATAGACATACAATGGTATTTAGTGGTTCATGTAAAACTATTTTATCATGGAATTCTAGGGTCAAGTTGCACTGCGTGTAAGTTGCTTTTATCTTTTGAATGAACAGCACTTTTCATAAATGAATTAATGTTGATTCACCTGCGATTATATAAAAGCTCTGATTTTGATTACTTCAAGCATCTTTTTCGTGTGGTATATTGTAATATTTTGATTCGTCAAATTAGCATTATATTAGTTATGACAAGCCTCAGGTTTTTCTGCATCTGAGGTTTAGACACTTAAAAATAAAACCGGCGTTCCTTATGAAGATATTTTTATAAGTGTACCTTAAATATGTAATACTGATTGTTTGTTTTTTGTTAGGGATTCGTTTGATCCTGTTTGGTCTTCTGAGATGAATTGATTTGTTTGTTTGTCATTGAATTTTTTATTGCTGTAAGCTATAGGAATAAACCACTAAAATAGTAATCGTAATTCGATCATTCTGTTTTTTGTTTTTGACACTAATGATTATAAAATTCATCTTAGGCTTCATAAACAGCTCGATGAATACTTGATTAAACTTGTTTATATCATTTATTCGGTTTCAAATTCAAACCTAATTTGATTTGTAAAACACAATTATAGTATAGAATATGAAAACGATAAGGCTTAGTGATAAATATTACTTATCTTGGTTCAAATATAAAGTTAGTTATTGTTGGAACTGTTGATAAATCTATTCAAAGTAAATATACGGTGAGTATTACAATAATTACCTGTTATTTTGAAAATTATAAGCGAAATTTTAATGATTATAGCTCTTGGATTCCGCAGGTCCAAACACTACTTTATCTACTTTGGCGTTCGGCTAGGCATGTTATTTTAACGAATTTCACACGATAAATAGGGAATAAAATACATTATGCAAATTTGTAACCGACTATTGAGTTACATGATTATTACTTTTCTTCTTCTTCTTCTTCTTCTTCTTCTTCTTCTTATTATTATTATTATTATTATTATTATTATTATTATTATTATTTAACCGAATTTCTGTTTAACCACTAAGTAGTCTACCTTAATCTTTTCTGTAAAGAGAAGACTGTTACTACATTCTTTTTCCATCCATTTTCTGTTTCTGATTTTAGGGTTCCGTTGTAGCTGATGGACTAGGTGTAACTTGTTGGTGGGTCAGTTAACCTGAAAAAAACTTTTGATATGATATTTTTGTTTATAATGTATGTATTTCAAGATTCTTAAACTTGATTATTACTGGGGTTATTTTTTGTTTTTAATGAAATATTATTGTTAATGGTGATGACGGTAATTTTGAAGAGAAAAAAGACGTATGTACCCTCATTACTTTCTTTTTAAGAAAAGTAGAAACGTCATGATAAACAAGATTATATATATATACTGAGTAAACAGAAAATATAACACAAAAAATATATAAATTTTCGAAAATAAAAGCGTTATTTATTAATTTATATATTGTATCACAGAAGAAGTTGATGAGAGGTGATTTTGTTTGATTTCAATTGTTATAAAACGTGATTTGTATGAGCAAAATGGAAAGGGATAGAAGAAAAAAAATACTTGTATGGTATGTATTAATTACGCATAATTGTCTTATGATATATATATACCACATGATGTAGAATGTAAAATGATAAGTATATGTATATGAGTATGTATGTATATGGATATGTACATATTTTATATTATTAACATAATAATTTACAACCGGGTAAATTTTTGTTCAAATATAACTTCACTGGTTGTGTAGCTGCTGGTAAATGAGCCAATTCCAAATAATTCAAACGTGGATGACGAGCTAATGTACATAGACCATCCTCACTTATCCTTTTACAACCTATTTATATAAAATTAAAATCGTATGAAAGTATAATTGCATGAAATATATTATATGAAGGTGAGAAACTAAGTGACAAATGGATTTTATAGTTTATTATTCAGTGTTGTTGATCATGTTCTCTTGTTTAAAATACAATAGCTAAGATAAGGTTTTGTTCCTTAAGTCAATGCACTAGAGTATCGTACCAACTATCAGTCAGCTCTCAGAGCACGTCGTACAAGATTTCACGGAAGCAGTTCACTAATGGTTGTCACATAACAGCGAAATAATATCGCTGTTTGAACTTCAGATTCGAAAACCGATCAATAAAAGGTAGTAAAAACCAATCTTCAAAATATCATGCTTCTGGGCACTGATCTTCATGAGTCTCATAAAAGCTTTATGAAACTCGTATATTTGGTGATTGAACCAGCGTCTTATTAAACCTTCGTTCGAAACCATCAACATAAAAATCTCAGATTCTTAGAAGTAGTGTATTTCTTGATCTCTGTATCTGAATAATCATAGTAATCACTATAGTTTATACAAGCAAGTGTTATTGCACAGATAGAACAAAATTTTCTCTATTAGTGGTAAATGACTTAAAATTAAAGTGGGAGATTTTGAATACTAGTATCTTACAAATAATCTTCAGTGTTTTCAGAAGATCCATGTAATTTCATTGATGATATTTTCTTGTGATATATTTCTTCTCGGACGAAAGGATTTTTGTCAAGCTCATGGTTATTCGTTATTCGATCTGCAAATAGCCAGTCTTGTCTGTTAAAGTTGTTTTCTTTCGATCCTTTATAGAGAGGTATAATGAGTATTTCTGCTTCCTGCTTTTCATTTGATTCATTTACAGTAAGAAACAACAGTCAACTAAATAGGCTGTGAGATGTTTATAAAAACCAAATCCTAGTTTTTTTCTGTAAAGTATGGTTTAACTCTTCGGTACCGTTTTCCACTGATAAAATGAAGTGGTTGACTGCCTTAATCACTCCACTTATCTGTAGGCAAGTTAATTATCAAAAAGTTACTTTTGTTTTACCGTACGACTTACATGTATTATTTGAAGTCGAATAATATACGAACACTCGAAACTAGTAGTTATCTTTAAATCATTTCTTGCGTTTGAACGAAACATTAAGTCAATTTCAAAGTTCTGAGTAATGGATATAATTGGCTTGCTTGAATCATAAAACTGGTAAATTGTACATGTAACTGTGTACTGTTAGCCTAGATTAGAAAATATTCTGGAATTGTTAGACTAAAGTTAAAAATGTTCAAAATAACTTAGTTTAGAATTATTATTACTGGCTTATCCAGAAATTGTAACATATCTTACTAATGAAGGATATTTGATCCCAAAATTATGAACGGACGATTTTAAAATATTGAATTAATTCGAAATGGTGTAATTATGGACTGAACTTGTGGGCCCGTAAATTGTATTCGCTAACCTGAAATTAAAAAGGCTACGAATTCATTTCTGATCATTCGTTTTCCATTTCAGTATGTAACATTAGGATTACTTTGATGAGCTCTCATTTCTTCAATTACAGTTTAACAAAGTACAACAAATTATAATTCCGATGAATTCGTTTACTCACTCTCTTATGATTTTGAAAGTGCATATTTGTTAAAAACAATGTCATTGCTAAGTAAGTATGCATGTATAACTTACCACTTAAGCATAGATAATTTAATCCTGTTGTACTAAGTAAATGAGGTATACTACCGTCTGATAAATTGACACACCACCTTACGCTGAGATGTTGAAGACTAGACATTGTCGCTAAATGGCTTATTCCCAGATCAGTCAATTCTGTACACCTATAATTATTGAAAGCGGGTAAATGGGGGGTTGGAGATATCAAAATTGTAAAACAAATTTATGATTAGAAAAGAGGATACTAATTTTATTATGATCATAAGAAAATATCAGTCTTTGAAACTACCTTCATAAGTATAACTGTTCTCTTCATATCCTACTAATAACTAATCACAACACAGATGTGTGGATCAATAGTTAAAAAGAAGTAAGCTGAAATTAGATACTATAGTTACCAATTCAAACTAATAATCAAAAGTGATGGGTAATTTGGAGAAATATTAGAAATACAGCACTGAAATTATGAGATTGAAGGTGAGATACGTTAACATTTTTTGAGAATGTCCCGAATATAATGTAATTTAGGCTTGAATCAGATTTTAGGACAAATATATCCATGAGGTCAATGCTCACAATAAAGGGAAGTAGTTTGAAGCTTAAAAACCACTTGTGATGTTCAGCCAGATTACGTACTACATGAAATGATATGAATTAAGTGAAAGATAATAAAAAAGGAGTTACTATTTAATACATTGCTCGAGTATCTAAGAAGAGAGATAGTTCAACCAAATAAATTTAAACTGTAAAATACAGAAGGAAAATAAATATAGGCTACCTTAATCTTGAGATAATCTTTTACTTATTGAACATGTGACCAATCAAAGTAGAAAAGATTCAACCTACTTTTTGTGGATATAGATTTTTTAATTTTTAATGGTGTTAGTTCTTTGATAGTCTAAAATCTGTAGACAATGCTTTATGCCTCCACTAATGACTTATGTCGCTGGATTATTCATTCAAATCAGGATGTAATTGCATCGAGGTTGATGGATGGGTTTTATGCTTATCCTTAGAGTTCTTTCACTTTTACTTGTGATGATGAAATACGTTATGATAGTTGTGTATGAATGCTACCTGAAATAATTACCTAGTGCTGTAATTTCTAACGTATACGTATGCTACGAACATGCAATAAAAAGTCACTAGAATAAGATCATATAACAATGATTTATATTATTGAGTTGGAAGTTATTGCAATAGAAATTCAGTGAAATACACTTTATTATCATTATTATTGGTTGTTTGATTATTCTAGTCATAAAAGTAATAAGCAATTGAGACATATGTTTATGAATACAATGGATTTATCATTGATGGGCTGTAATTACTCATGGACAAAAAACATTGTTTTTATATCAAATTTGAGTCGATCTGAATTTTGGGGAAATATATTTCTAATATTTATCTATACTATGCAAGGTTATGAATAACAATAATTTATTCATAACCGTTAATTGTTAATGAATGGTTATTTTTTTAAATTTCTTGCATTATTCCCTACTATCTCTTGAACACTCGAGAAAAAGCCAAAGTGTGTGACTTAGGATCTAGAAGTCCATCAGTGAAGCCAGTGATAAACCTTTTGTGTTTATTAGTTAATTGATTGTGAATGGACGTTTGGGCTCGTGTAAGCAACTGATCAGTGTTATGTAAGCAAATGCAATCTATCCTCCTTACTCATAGTTATTCATTGGTGAAACGAGAAGCGTGTAATTTAGGATTCACATATGTCAAACCAAATACAAAATCTACATATCACTTTAACCAACTCAAAGAGAAAATTGTAAATCAGAGAATTGGCTGGTTGAAACAATGTTTTAATACTTTTGTCATTGAGTTTTTACAATTAAAATGTTGACTAAGAAGAACTTATATCGAAATTTTATATCTTGTGTTAAGAATCTCTTATTATACTTTGATGTAGTATTTAGTAAGATGGTTATTACCTAATAACATAAATATATTCTTTGTATATCTGGTCAAGAACTATACAACATTTGAATCTTGTGTAACAAATTCATACTGCAGTATTAGTTCTAATGATCAAAGTATATCTACTTGTGTGAAGCTATGACTTGGCTGTTTTATTTTTTACGTCGCCTAAGTTAGTGGATTGTAATGTTTCAAGTTACCATACCTACACTGGTTTTGAACAGCCAAAAGTTACAGATATGCTTTATGTACATTTACGTCTATCTAGTTAACAAAAATGTGTAAATTTCTTGTAGTAATAAAATTACAATAATCTATGATGGACGACCTTAGTATAATTTTGCAAATTGGTAAGTAATACTGGTTTGTTCAATTGAATATACTGATCAATCATGTAATAGTAACCGATGTTCTGATTTTTAATCTCTATTGCTAATCGAAATATATTGATTAAGTGAAAATGCGACCACTAGACTAAGCCATTCAACATGGCGGTATATTATGTTTCTGATATGATATAGTTGAAAACAATAGATGGAGAATCCTGGACTTAGGCTTCATATCAGTTGATTCTGGCCAGCAAGTATTATTTTCAATTTCAGTTCGTATATTGTACCAGTTGCTATCATTACTTCTTCACTTGTCTTAACATGTAGTTACCTTCAAATATGAAATAAATAGAAAAAATGAATTCATTGATCATATTCTAAATAAATTTGTTTGATTCGTGATTCAGCAAATTTATTGAAAACAATTATAAAACTGTATGCATAATA